TGTATGTATGTATGTATGTATGTATGTATGTATGTATGTATGTATGTATGTATGTGTGTGTTTGTTTTTATTTCTTTTTCTATCTATATATCGACAATAACGTTGATGTAGATGTTAACGATTATCAATGACTCTAAAACAGAAAAGAATTTATAACCAGTAATACAATAAATAAAAGTCGACCAACCATAACGAGGAATAAACGTTTATACATATGTGATGTATGAGATCCCTATGTAATTAGATATTGGTGTCAGTAGCAACAGATGTACATGATTATCATGTTGTGATTGCTAATAATAACGATCATGATGGTGATTGTACATATTGTTAAGGTTTTTCGTGTCCATAGTTTTTTATGAAATATATAATACGGATCACAAATTTCTTCCCTTTTGCAATATAGACATAACAAGAAAAAAAAACAATATCAACCTTTTATTGACCTGAAAAGTACGCAGTGATTGCACATTTTTAAGCTTTCTTTCATAATATTACCTCTTTTGAGGAAGTGACAATTATAAGTTTGATTATAATTTTATTTAATGCCCACAATGATTTATTAGGATTGTACACATAATACTTGTGAATTACTTGCTTTTCTACCCAAGCACATTGGCTTCACTTTTTCGGACCTTGTGCTTGAAAGTTCCTTCAGAAGGAGCTTAATATATGGCTTTGTCGCTTTAACTTGGTTAGATCTATGTTTGCGCAACACAAGAAGAGAAAGATATCGATTATTAAGTAACACTGGCATGTTATTTAACATTTCTGAAATAATCACTTAATAATATTACACAAATACCAAATGCAATTCATTCCAACTAATTGATTATCCCAGAAAAAAAATTTGAGAGAGAGGGGCGAAAACTGGTTGACGAAAAAGCGGATTAAAAATGAAGACATGATCTTAGGTAATAGTAAAATGCTTGTAAAAATCTATATAAACAGAATATTTGCGTAAGGCATGGTCAGTCAATTAAAAAAAATTTGAGTCGAGAGTGCTGTCGAAATAGATTGCAAATAATCTTACCCTTAAGGAAATTGATTGTGAATAAAAGAATCTTAAAATGAAAGTGCAAGTGCAAGTGTAAGTCTCTTAAAAAGAAAATTCACGATCTAGCGATGCGAATCGTATCCAGAGAAGTATTTCGTAACATTAGTACGGCCGACTACTGAATTTGTAATGCCGACAAAGTTGGATCAATTTTCCAGCAAAAGTCTTTTCTTTCCGTACTTCTTCTGCTGCTCATCTAGATTGCTAGTCTATCTTTTTATGAGATTTTCAGCCTCTTGTGATATCTTTGAGCTTGTTCTTGGTACTTCGGCTTGCTGATTTATCACTCATTCGGTTTCCTATAATTCGCACAGAACCTAGTAGGCCTGTCTTTTTTATAAGGACCACAGGCGAACACCAAGAGCTATTTGGTGATTCAATAACTTTCCGCTCTTGCACATCTTTGATCAAGTCCGCCATCGCTGCTCTCTTTGTTAGTGGAATTCTTTTAAGCCGTTGTCGAATCAGTTCCTGCTGTCTTCATTGTATGCTTCGCAAAGCCCCTGCATCTTTCTCCTGGGCATTCATTCTGCCATCCTATTGGCCTAGCGCATCATCAACTTTCTCTTCCAGCACATTAACTTTGCCTTGGAATTGCTGGTAACCTTCGTCTATACATGTGTGCTAGATTCCTTGACATTCCCGAATTTTCTCGATCTTTTCCGTCGTCCCGTCAATTTTTGATTCTATTTCTTGCTATCTTAACTGTATTTGCTGTTGCCCTACCTGCATTTGTTGTATGAATTGCATAACAACGGCATTCGATATACTTGCACCATTTTTGCCGCGTTTTTCTCCTTCTGTGGCTGTATTTTCTGTTCCCTCAAAGTTCGGTTTACTCCCTTCGCTCGATATTATATTCGATCTCCAATATCGTTAGGTCCTCTTTGTTTTTTTTTTCTAGATGTTCGTCTACTCTTTGTTTCAATTCATTTCTGCTACCGGCTGTACGAAGGTGTCTTTTTCGACTAACTCCGCCTTTCGCAATTATTCTGTTTATAAACATTTTTACAAACATATTACTATTACCTAAGATCATGGCTTCGTTTTTAATCCGCTTTTCCGTTAATGTTTTTCGTTGGCCGGCAACTGTGTAACGCGCCACGAATTTGCACCTGGTTTTTCCATCTCGCGGATAATTGTTTTCGGGGAAAATCATTTAGTGGGAATGAACTAAGGCGGCTAGGTAAAAGAAGTAAGAGTGCTAAAGTCGGACAAGACCGAGCTTTAGAGATAGTCTACATCACCACTTTGTCTAATACTCACTAATTCACTCATTTTCTTAATAATATGCAGCTTTCTTAATATTACATTACTTTTTTATAAGAAGGTATAATTTTCATGACAGCGCTCCTATTGGAGAATACTCAAAACGGTAATGTGGTCTAAATTTAGCAAACTTAATGTATTTGGCAATGATTTTATTATTTTCCAGTTGTTCCCGGTATAGCAAACTAAAAATTACATTCTGTCGCCATAGAGAGTTTGGCTTTCATGAGAGCATCTATGATCCCCTGTGGTTAATTCATGTGTGGTTTCATCATAGAATATTAAAAATTAGACTGTTTTGTCTAGGGTTTCATAAGAACCCCATATATGGATTGAGATTCAAACAATGTGATGCAAGCTCGGGGAGATTGATTTACATGCCACATCATTGTGAATGAAACAATTTTCATCGAAAAGTATTGAAAATCAGGTTTTTTTTACCCCACCTAAAGATGTAGTTTCCATAGGAACGGCTAGATGGCCTGGGGCATGCGCCATCCGATCTAAAGTTTCTATGCGAACGTAAAATGCGATTTTTGTCCCGAAATTACATTCTGTTTTCATATAACATGACTTATCAAAACCAGGCGTCATATGGACGAAAAAGCGGTTCCGATCCGCATCATTTTGAATAGCGTTTGTCCTTGGGCCAAAAAACACCTCTGTGTAAGAGATTTAATCGGAATCTGTTTGGCTTAAAATCATATATTTTTTTTTATCGATTTAAGTTTGTCTGCGCATGCTTCAAACAATACGATCGAAGTTTATCTGTCTGTCTGGTATCTGTCAAAAAATTGAAAATAAAATATTTGGATGGAATGAGACCATTTTTAATGAATGTAGAATGAATTTGTTGTATTTTCTGAAATGAAAATAGCTGATGAATTTTATTAAGCAGTGTATTTTAGCGCATTTAATGATTGACCTTGCGCGACTCTACGGTTTTTATTCATTTCATTTAATTGTGAATCAAAATTTGAAAACACTTACGGCATAAATCTCAAATTGAAATATTACACAAATAAATAAATAAATAAATAAATAAAAAAAAAACAAACCAAAGTAAACATAATAATATTAACCCATGTATCGAGACATATCTTATATAGTGGATATACAATAATAAACACAAAAAGCAAAACGCATATGCAGACAACAGTTTTAATCTAGTTAATCTGCCAGTTGGTAGAAAATGAATTACTTTTCTCTTAACAACAATGGAAAAAAACGATTCGTTGTAAAATTTTATTTTCGGCATATTTTAACATAAGATCATATACGAGTAAAACAGAAACAATAATTGCTATCTACTTTATGCCTTGGATTGAAAAGTCAATTTTTTTCTCCTTTTTCTAAGCAGTAAAGCAATACGGAAGCAATGGCACGAAGAAGATCAAAAAGTACTAATTGTCATCCCAAAGTTGTCTTGACGACGGAAAAGAAATCAAAGTCAAATGAAAAATTGATAAAAAAAAAAAAAAAAAGGAGAAATGTTTACTTATTAACTATACTTTTCCATAGTAGCTTTACATACCATACCACTATAGGTAAAAATCAAGAAGAGCAAGCATTTTTAATTGCCGAAGTAATCCGTATTTCTATTGCAAATGGTCTGCGGGCCATTACTGACAATATTTATAAGTCTAGGCAAAGCTTAAGCAATGATTGTTAAAGAAATCATCAGCGATTATAATGTTAATGATTTAATAAGAAAAGCCCTCAACTTCGGTCAAGGTCGGAGAGGAAAGAGAGAAGTCTTTTCGATTATTAGATTTTATTTCTTGATATGATACGTATATTTATGAATTTTACGGAGAGAAATCGATGTAATTATGATAAGCCTTAGTAGTTGCAGGTAGAAGAGAAAATAACATTGAAGCTTAATTTTAGATATGAATCGTTTCATGATGCGTTTGAATGTAACTTTGTGTGAACTTCAGTTTATGGAACTGAATATAACTCAAGGCTATATATATAGCATTTGATAGATTGCACATCAGTGTTTACTTTTTAGACTACCACCTTTAAATAAAACTTTAAGTGAATGGTCGAGTCGGAAAAGAACAATTAATTACGTAACTGTTGTGATATCGATACCTTGGTATACTCAACATTATCAAAAAATATATTAGATATAGTATGTAGTATATAAAAAGATAAATATTCTTAATTGTCGCGCGTGTAAGACTATAAGCCGGTATAATATATAGTACTTCCTCGTAAGAATTTTTATCAAATTCGATTTAAGAAAGTGTATAAGAACGGAGTAAGAAGAAAAGTAATTAAGTGAAAGAAAAAACAAAAGATTTTCGATTATTCTTTGATTAGTAAAGCCTTCTCTCTATTGACATCGATATCGTGTGTGTTTTCTCGCGAAGTAGACATATAATCGTGATAACTTGCGTTTTTCTAATTGAGCATTTTTTTCCTAAATTATTTTCTGCGATCTTTTCATAATAAAAAGTTGTGAGCCAAGTAGCATGAAAAATGGTTATAACATTTAAGAATACTGTTCTCCGATTAGTACATTTACTTTATTTCTCTGGTGGGCTAGCAGACGAAGCCAAGTCATATTTGCGGATATTAGATCAGATTATTTCTAATACGAATGATGAGTTGCAGGAAACATTTCAAGTATTTATAACAAATATGGTTAGTAGACGTATCAAACTGTCAGTCTCTCGTCCGGTATTAAATGAAGTTGTCTCAAGATTGGCGAACCTTCCTGATCGAGTTGCTTTTGATTTGTGTAAGTTTGCGCTAGTTAGACTTCAACCACGTATCATTTGCTTTGAGGAGCATGTATGCGGTATACTTCAACATATCGGAACCATTATGGAACGATTTCATATGTATCGGCAAGCAGCCGAGACTTTATTGACCGTACCATTGGAAAGGGGGCACAGGCGATACGCCGCAGAATATAAATTCGACACGTATGTGCGTATTGCACGTCTCTTTTTGGAGGCTGGCGACGTGAGAAAGGCTGAATTCCATATTAAGCGCGCGTCCCTGCTGCAAAGAGAAGTCTCTGCGAAAACAAAAATAATTTCGTATAAAGAGAATTACGCCAGTATCTTGGATCATGCACGCAAATTTATTGAAGCTGCCCGGCGATACGTTGAGCTATCCGCTATCTCCAATATGTGCATGTCGTTTCTAAGAAAAGCTTTCATTTGCATCGCCTTATCAGCGACTGGTGAGCAACGCTCTCACATATTGTTTTTATTACTTAAAGACAAACGTACAAGGATTCTGCCGGGCAGTGCTTTAATTGGGAAACTTTACTACAACGTTATTATAAAGCCATCAGATTTGAAAGATTTTAAAGCCATATTGCAGCCGCATCACAAAATCACTACATCAGACGGTCGTACTCTTCTCGAGCGTGCAATTAATGAACACAATCTGATATCCGTTAGTAAAATTTATAATGACATATCATTTGAACAATTGGCATCTCTCGTTGAAAGAACGCCTACTTATGTACAGATCGTTGCGGCAGAACTGATAAGAAACGGACGCATACCAGCAGTCATCGATCAAATACGTGACTCACTCGTATTTGAATATCAGCGAGAAGCTTCACCGGTCGACATGGAGATACAATTCCTTTGTAATCAATTGAATTCAGTATTTAATAAAATTGCAATTGCAAATCCTGCATGGTTTGCCAAAGTTGAAACAGCCATAACAAAGGAAAGTGATAAAAAATGTTAATCTTTCAATATTCAAGTGAAATAAAAATATTTATTCTAAGATGAAAAAATGAAAACGAAAAAAAAAAGAAAATTTGAAAAATTTTGCAGAAGGAAATTAATAAATCTATTTGAAGTTATATTGAATTTTCACAATATTTCTATTTATCGCGTGCTAGGCAAAGGAAGACTGGTTTTCACTTTCAAATTATGTTATTAAGAAACTAACAAACTACGGAATAGGTTAAAATTGAAATGATTCCTTCGATTATTTCGACTCCGTACCTAATTTAAAATATGCCGGAATTCATAAAAGCTTCTATCGTTCCTTGATCTCTACCTATTTTCCGCGATTGAAGGACGTTTTTCTTTTTCTCGCCCTTTTTTCAACATCTCGAACTAGTTCTAGTTTCTCATATGACAATCGAATTAATAAAAATATAGAATTTTTACTGATTTTATAGAAGAGTCCAGTGTCTTCCAGAAGTGTTAGAAGCTTTAACGAAAGAAGACGAGTTATAGCAAAAAATCATCATTGTGCATATTCATGATGTCTCTGAAGCAACTTTGAATCTCTTTGCTTTAATCTCGATTTACTTTAAAAATTTATCCTGAATTTATATACATGTGCATCTAATAGACACAAGGATTTTAGGTTAGTTTTAATTATTTGAGATTTGAGGTAATCGATAAAATCGATACCTTTCATTGTTTTTAGTAACGAGCCAGCGAAAGAAGGAATAGCAGCGAATGGATTACAAAGTATTCGAATAGGAAAGAAAAAAAAGGAACTATAGATGACTTGATATATTTCGATTATTCTCGATTCGATCAGTAGCTTTAATATGAAATCGAGAGCATTTATGCTTTCGATCATGTGTTTTCGTTTGGATTCTACGAATTAGGTACGCATAAAGATAAAAAATTGGTAATTACGCTAAAAGTTAATATTTAATAATAAAAATTTAATATTTTTAATAAAAATTTTTAGTTATATTCTTTTAAGAAAAGATTACTGGAAGAGTGCTTTTAGATATTTTTCAAATATCTCTAGAATTCATAATGAAATCAATAATTTGGCATTATGTGAACCTATTTTGAAATTGCCGACACTTTCCAATCCAGTATCCAGTACGATAAGCTTAACATATGTCCGAGTATTGGGCGCCGTTTACTGTCGATAGGGGATCTAGAGGCAGCTAAAAAAATTTAATTAACTCGCGTCTCGCTAATGCACGTAACAATAATTGATAAAAAAAAATCAAGGTTTCGTTATGCAAAGTGTAATGCATAGGTTTTGTTTGGAACTGTTCCATAAGTACAATGTGAACGCTCAATCGTATCTTGAATTAGTACCGTTTAGCCAGCCCAGCTCTGAGTTAAAGTGTTAATATGTTTGTTTAAAGAAAAGCTTCGATTTAAACCGTCGTTGCACTATTCAAAGATAAACATTCCAAATTGTTGCCAACTAATCATGTAACAGAATTGAAAAAATTTGAAGGTATGCTATTGTCCTGTCGTAGATTTAAGACAATGTATTGCTGAAAATGATCTATAGATTGAACAACGCACTGCTATTTATACTTTAGAGGTAACGCCTATCTACGCGGAGTTTTTCGCATATATATTGATAGTTAACGGAAGAGTAGATAATCTCCTTGATAATGAGTCCAATTTTGTGCATTTTAATAATCAAGGAGATGAGTCAGTATTCGACCATCAAGTAAAGTCAGTTTGAATAAAATAAATAATGAAAAAAACAAAACAAATCTTTTGGTTCTCCTTTGAAGCTAAAAGAAATAGATGAAGTTATAGAAGAGTAGCAAGAATTTATTATTGATTTAATTGGATGGCGATTTAACTAGATTTAAAGAGGTTCTGAGCTACATTAACAACAAACTTGCCCGTCTGCCTGCCCTTCTTCACTGTGATGCTTGAAATCAAATAAATTGAGATTGATATTAGTGGAAATGAATGATGAATGAATTGAAATGAAGTAACTGGTGGAGAGTACTGTGAATTTTATTTGGAATGAACTCATCACACTTACTGCCTAACTGTTCGATATTTTTTTTTAAATCTTACACAAGGAAAAACATTATAGTAGGGCACGGTTCGGCAGTAAGTGCGACTTTTCAAAATAAGGCGTTATATAGGAGGCGGTCCGATCTGAGTCATTTGCAGCAGCGTTAGTACTTGAATGAAAATAAGTTACAGTGTATCAAATTCTATTAAAATATCTTAGAAATTGCAGTTTGCAATTTAAACGGAAGCAAAGAAAATCAGTGGACGGATGGACAGCTAGAAAAGTTTAATTGATCGATATAATAAGAAGCGGGTCTTTCTCAAGTCTTTTGGGGTATTGTAGACATCTGCATCAACTTAATATATCTTTGTACCGCAAGCGGTGTAGGGTATAAACATTACATATTCTATCGAACAATAACGGATAGTATATATATATATATATATATATATTATAAGATTTATATGATTTTTTTGTAGATAAGCTCGGAATGATGGAATTCATTCACCTTCAAAGGCGCTTGAGCAGTTCGTCTTGATTTGAGAGAGCCACATGCGTCAATTATCTTTTTCGGGCAACGATATTAGTTTGGTTTTTAACGAAAGATTCTATCGCAAGAATTGAAGAAGAAAATTATCTTTTTCAAGAAATAATATTGAATTTCATGTCTGGAAATTTGATTGAAATATTGCGAATAAATTCATGAGAGGTGATGAACTCTTTCTCCTCAAATTTTGAATACATATAAAAAAAGTTCGAAATTTTATTAATTGGCAGTAAATTGCTATTCGTTGAGTGATATAAATTTCCTCAATTTCGTTCTGAGTCCTCATCTCAATCCACTAAGTAGGTTGCATTAAATTTTAATAGATTTTTCAAATCCTGATAATGTGTCTTGCGCCCCCATAGATATTTATATTAATGATTTGAGTTTGTAGTATTAATCCTTTTAATTGAAATAATTTGCGCGCTTTTATTGACCTACAGCTACACTAGTTGACAATGCACATGTAAAAAAAGTTGCATCTTTTTGCATCAATTTTTTGTAACGTTGTGGGCAGACAGACATAGGAAAGGCTTTTGTAAAACGCTTTTGTGGGAAAATGTATTAGTTAATTAATTACTCTCTGTTCATTTCTATAACTGTCTTCCAACATTTTACTGATTTTTAAATGCTTTCTAGGACAATCTTCAGCTAGTTTAGCTAGCAAATCTTATAAATTATTGTGCTTAACAAAAAACCAAAAAGAGATGAAAATCTGAAAAGACATGTCAGGAATGGAGCGGATCTTACGATATTCTTGACTCTCAGTAGCGTATGGTCTGTGCGCCGTTGTAATAAAAGAAAATGCTTTTCGTTTAACGAATTTTCTTCTCCACATCGAATTGGTAGAGTTGATCATTTCACGTTTACGGGTGAAAAAAATGCAACCCGCTTTAAATTGCGAAATTTAGCCGAATTTTTGACAAACTCTTCAACGTCAATAATCTCTCAATTATCGTTCATTAAATCAGGGACATCGTTATTATCAATACCGGAATGTAGTCTAAAATCATTTAGACCACTTCGTAATGATCATAAAAATTGCGAGGTTGTTCCAATATGCTCAGCTCTCTCAAATTCGGATACTACATAAAATGTGACGAAAATGTTTCTTTTCAATCTTGTATTTGAATATTTGCAAGGCTATAATAAAATCGTGTGGACTTGGGATCGATCCATCAATCCAATTCAAAACCGTGTTCAACCTGTAGGTCACAAATTTTGTAGATACTTTAATGAAATTTGGTACACTGACGAATGCTATTGAATACGCTTCGATTCGGTTAAATATGCCCATATAACGGCCTATTTTCGCAAGTTGTTATATGATCAACTGCAAGGTGGTGTAGGGTATTTAATGGTGAGCCCTTAACCCGTTGTAGTGTTTTTATTTATCATAATATCATTGACTTTGCGTATATATGAATATTTTTAAGGTTATGTTCCTTCACAGATTATATAGATGACTTTGCTACTACTCGAATTTGCCAGGGGAAACGGCCAATTCTACGAATTTAGAAACATGTTTTCTCTATCTTAGCTTCCTACTATGTTCTTGTATCAGCAGCTTACGGCGAGCATAGCAATGGTCTTATTATAGTTTGGTATGCATTGGGCCAACTGAGTCGAAAAATGGGTGTTTACGGATGCCATTGTAAACAAGGAGGATTATTTAAGGATATTGAACGAAAATTCAAAAGGAACTATAGACAAACTTGGTCTTCTCGAAACATTCAAATTTTACCAAGAGAAAGACCTCAAGCGTAAGTCCCGCTTAACTCAAGAATGGCTTTTATATAACTGCTCCAAAGCGCTTCACTCTCTTCCTCCTCATCATGTGGAATGAATTGGAGCGACGGTTGCGAAAACATTCAATCTCTTCCGTCCAAGATGTGAAAAATGGACTACAAGACGAATGGCGTACGATCCCTGTTTCCTACACAAGCAAAATTATACAAAAAATGTCAGACCGTTTAAATGACGTTATTAAGCAAAAGGGATACTCCATCGAATATTAATTTGCAATAATATGATGTTGTCGACCATCGCATCCTTCCTTATGTGACAAAAACGCAATATTAATGACGCTACGTTTTGAAGTTGTTGAAGTTATTTAATTTTCTTGTCTACTGGAGTAATGTTTTGTTTGTCTTTTTTTTTTTTAATATTTTAATATGTATTCTCTGGTAGTACGAAATAGTAAAATAAATTGTTAGGCTTGGACAATGAACTAGATTTACTAAGCGTTCACTTTTTGGCGAGCGAGACAAACGCAATGTTAATGAGACTCACTGCATATATATATATTTTTTTTGAGTGCCATAATAGCTCTTTGATCTATAATAAGCAAATTAAATATCTGCTAATCCTAACTCTCTTGAAGTGTTGGAGGATTTCCGTCACTATTGCAAAAAGAAGAAACTAGCCCTGGCGAGAATATGTATGATAGATATGTTATTCGGGTATTATGTTCAACGAGCTTACGGTCGGTAAAGTTCCGTAAAGTTCCGTAGAGTTCATTGAAATCCGTAGTAATAGGATGATTACGTTCAATTGCTTTCATTTGTTGTGTTTGTAATAAATATCTCTCTTTTTATCTTTCCTTCTCTCATTCTTTCTTTTTCTCTCGGTTCTTTAAAATATGAAAAGAACTCATTTGCAGTGTCTTTGTTCCTACTCAATGCTCCCTAACTAAAGCCTTTAACTAAAATAAATACATATACGATAGTTTAAACGGTAGCCTTAAAAAGCTCTACAACAACAAAAAAGCAGCAACATACCATTTGTTGCGAAGTTTAAGTCGACATTATAATACTTAAAAAGTGCAATTTTATACAAACAAGTGTATAAATATATATAAAAAACATCAAAATACTAAAGAGTAATGAAAATAATAGAATAACAAAAAAAAAAAAAAAAAAAAATGAAAATCAACTCAAATAAATAATAAGAATAATATAAATACATTTAAATAATCTCATAAAATATGTCTTATATAAAACGAGTAACGAGAAACGACATAGACTTGGGGGCATTTCAAAATGTGTTTTCCCGGGTATTCTATGGATAAAAACGTATTTCGTATTTTGAAACGATAGACACATTTTTCAACTGTACAACAACTATAACTTATTATTATACACGAATAAAAAACACTTTGTTTTTCATCATAAAATTTTTGAATCATTTACTTGGGGTTTCCGTTTTCAAAATAAGTGCCATAAAACTTGTATAAAAACTCTACAAGAATAAAAATTAATCCTAACCGTTAGAGAGTTTAGCAATCTTTCGCATAAAAACAGGGCTTAGCAATCCTAGCAATGCAGATTTTTCCCTTTTCTTATCATCTCCATTCTTTCACCTTCCCAGTTAATGTTCCGATTTCATTTCAATTTGTCATTCGCTATCAGTCCATTGCAGTCCAAAATTTTCATATTCGTATGAAGGAAAGGTTTTCGCATATGTCAATTTTGTCACCCTTATATGAAGTTGAACACGATCTTAACAAAACTATGATCTTAACAGATATGGAAAAAAATTGCAAATTTAATTATTATTTTATATTGATCGGAAGGATGGGCTTCTTCATGAATCTACGCTACATAAAGACTTGATGACTAAATTTACCAAAAATCGTCAATTTGATGCGTAAATTTTTTGAATTGCATTGTCGTTGCAAAAATGAGAATAGATAGCTGAAGTCTGGCGCAAGCATTCCTTAATCGATTAAGAATACGAGGATTACAATATAGTATGGGTATTGTGTTTGTAAGCACACTCGCAACGCAGGAAAGATGAAAACAGCGACAATTTTTTCATATATTCGTCTATAACCTTTAACCCGATTCGAAAGGTATTTTCGAAAACATTTCAATTAGATATTCTTTAGTATCACTTTTACATTCGGTCCACAAAAATTGTTTTAAACGGTTTACTGACACGTCCGCAACTGACGGGTGCGATAAATCTAATTAATATTAATATTATTGTAAAATATATATTAATCTTGTGTATATTGTTAAAGATATTGATAAAATTAATATATCTATGGATACTGAGCAGAAAAATAAAGAGTAAAACTTAGCCATACACACAAAGCACAACGGTTGGCTTGGTAACTTGTGTTTAGGCCGTTCAGTCTTAACTGAACATTCGGTGCGGTAACTTGTTTATAAATTGCGCGACAACATTCTATAAAGTGTGTCATATATGTATGTATATATATATATATATATATATATATATGTGTGCGTGTGCGTCTATTTGTGTGAAAATACACATATGCTTGCTAACTTTTATGGCAATTTTTTCTCTTTTGATTGATGGCAGAATAAAGCACAAGCAGCGACAAAAATAATAATAATAACAAAGACTCGCTATTAAAATAAAAAAAAATAATAAAAAAAAAAAACTAAAAAAAAGGAAAAAGCAGAATAAAAGAAATGAAATGCATTACAGTTGGAACGACGGAAGTGCATGCACTGAACAAATGTGCAAATAGAACACGGGCGCAATGTATATTGAAAGTTTGTTTAAACATATGTGTATAGGAGATACTTATTATTGCAGCGCTCAAAAGCCAAGAACACAAACAATTGGTTAGTTTCACGTAACAACGTCTAAACAAACAAAACCTATCTTCAAAGAAACAACGAAAAGCGATTTTTTGCATGAGCCTTAGTAGCTTCGCTTGGTCTATTGTGAATGCAAGTATAGAAGAGTATAGATTGAAACGGAAAAGAATATAATAAATAAAAAAGTAATAATAAAATCCAAAACGACTTTCTTTATTACGTTCGTAGCTAAAGCGTAAATAAAACGTTAAAAAAAAAAAATAAATAAATAAATTCAATAACTTTTTGTGTTCCCTCCGCGCTCACCGTCCTTTAGACGAAATCAATGAAAACATGCAAGCGATGTGAACATTAATAAAAATCAAAACATAGACAATAGTAATAATAATAATAAAAAATCATAAAATTTTGTTTTATCAATATTTGCTAAACTAAACACACACACACACACACACACACATACACAGTGACACCTCATCAACTATTAATGCATATTGATATAGGAAACATATAAATAATTAGCAATTTTTATATACCTTCCGTTGCGAATAATTATAACAGGATATGCAGAAGAGAATGAAAAGAAATTAAAGTTAGAAGTTTTCGGCAAAAAAACGAAGAAAAAAATAAACAAAAAAAAAATATATATATATATATATATATATATATATATATATATGTATGTATGTTGATATGTTGAATTTGTTGTTGTAAACTAGCGTATAAACTGCCGTTACAGTTAATCCAACAAACCGTGAAGTGAACAAAAATATAATAAATAATCAAAGCAATTTCTTTCATTTGTTGTAATAAGTTTTTTTTTAAAAATTTTATTTTTTATTTTTTTTTATATTAAAAAAAATAAATATTAATACTTTAAAATTTTGTACCGGGCATTGGTATTTAATAAATTTGTATTTTTGTAAATACCAAGTCATCATCTCATTCGCATTACATATGCAGTTTCTTATATGGGTAATGGAAACTTTAGCACTATCCCCGCTTTAAGTATAGTAATTGTGCCGCTCGCTATACATGTGCGTATGTACATATCTGCATACATATACATATATATACATAGATATATATATATAGCATACCTACACATATATAAATATAACAGACGTACTAATACAAGAGCATTAAGTAACAGAATGATTTCTTATAAAATGTACAGAAAAATGTAATAAATCCTTTCAAGTCAAAGACAAGTAAGATACCACAAAAAAAAAAAAAACGGTCTTAATGATAATACGGCTTAAGTTTAGTTTTCAAAAAAGGTTTTATGCATTCGTTCTTTAAGCCTTTAAAAAGCGAAACAAAAAAACACAAAAGCATTCCCCTTTAAGCAATGTAATGATATATAGCAGAAACCCTTATTTGCTTGAGCACCCAGATTATTTAATAGGAAAGCGATCTTTATTAAAGATCATATATTTTTCAAATATTGTCGACCTGATTTTGTTGTTGACCCTGTAATAAATACATCATTACCTGAACACATTTTTTTTGTATTTTGGTGTTAATTTCACCTTTGTACATATGTATGGTAAATATATGCATTTAAACTATGTGTTTTTTCAGTTCATTACGTTCCTTACGTTATATATATATATATATATATATATATATATATATATATATATACTACAGAGATATCATACTATAGAGAGCTTCATCGTATTAAATTTTGTTGTTAATAAGTTTGTTTGTATTGGCACTTATATAAAAGCATTGCTCTTTTGCATGTCATGTAAATATTAATATATTTAAGAATAAATACTTATCGTTCAAAGGAAAATACTATCAAATTTAAAATATTGGTAGTAGCAGGAATGGTGAAAACCCTATACTCATCAGGGGATGAAAATTTTAAATTTTCAAAATTATAGAGCACTGGGTGAAACTAGCAAGAAAATGATTTTATTAAAATTTTGGATAATAATACGCTTAACCATTTACATTATATTAAGCTTCTACGGATGTATGCAACATTGACAAGGACTTTAGATAGATCCGTCATTCTATTACACCGTTCGATCCAGAATTATTTTCAAGCTTGAATCGATTTAAAAAAATGATTCTGATTGTCTGTCTGTCTGTCCATCCCGTCGTCTGCCTTGTTTTTTTAAGTTCAAGCTGCATTTCGCAATTTTCAAGATATTTTTGATGAAATTCGGTACACTGACTTGTTTCGGCTCAAGGACTAACGCTATTGAAAATGGGTTTAGATCGGACCAATTTTTCGACCATTTCGCTTGTAACGGCTCATTTTGAAAATTCGATGTATAGATAACTGTAAGATGATATAGGATGTTTAACGGTGGATCGTAGCGCAATATAGTTTTTTTACTTGTTTTAATTACGAGTTCAATTTTACCTGATATATGAATGGACAGATCTTTTACTTCGCACTTGCTTCCAGTCGAACTTTAAATAAAATTCAAAATTGTTATCCGCTATAAATTGAAAATTGCCAATGCCGGATTATCTATTAAGCATTGAAAATATTGTTATTATATTTCAAAATATTCTCTTAGACAATCCTTTTTCAATTCACATTGACATCGATTGGCGAAAATGATAATCTAATGTAAAATGTGTAATCAATGTGCACAAAGGGTCAAAGGATGACGATTTTACCACTTCTCTATATAAAAGGACAGTTTTCCATTTAGTGTTATTAAGTTACTCAGCGTATACAGACGCTCGAATCATGGAACGATCAAAATTGCATATTCGAGATTCATTACATTTGTTATTTGATTTGCAGAAATCTGTTGCCGAAACACCAATCCAATATGGTGTTGGTGCTCTGTCATATCCTATATCGATATGTATAAATACGATTTATGAATAAAATAGTATTGATTATGCTCTCTCTTAAAAAGGTCCGTAATGAAATGAAATGAAATGAAATTTCATGAAATGCATTTTGTTTTTTTCGTTACAGTTTTTTATTTCTTGTGCATTGCTTTCAAAATTTTTTTTTACCTCTAGTATAAATTTGCAAATTCGCTCATTAAGAAATCAGTGTCAGTTATTTTTTATGTGAAAAGCGAATCATGAATGTTGGCTGGCACTACGTCTGTCCGTTCTCTAGTTATTTTCGTAGCGGTCTTTTAAATATGTTCACCCGGCAGTTTTCGTATTAGAAGTGGTCGTTTTTATAATCGTCTCAGACTGAAAAATCTTCGATTCGGATCATATCTATTTCTGAAACTCAGATTAGATTATTTTATTACTCTATTGTATCGTGTAGTAGAATTTGATTTGATTTCTTTAGCGCCTCATTTTTAATAAATTAGAAATTTTGTAAATTGTTACTAATATACGCGACTTTGCCAAAGAGTATTCCGTCGTGGACTTTAGTTCACATCGCGCAAAATATGCGAATTTGTTGCTTTTCCCAATCAATCATGCTATCAAACTATAAATTATATCAAAAATGAAAGCAAAGAATACCGTGACTGTTTAGAATAACATCAAATCTATCAGACTTATCTAAATGAAAAATTATCCAAATTGTTTCCGAGACTATGTAATCACATTCGTCATCAACTAAATTAATTAACATTTTTCACAATCGTATCATAAGTCATAAACGTCACAGTTATCGGTATGGCTGACTAGAATTAATAAATTACTGGATAAAATCTAACAAGAGTTGTTCTCATTATTGTCTATCATTTTTTGTAAATAATAGTAATATTCTAGAGAGGGCGAAAGAGAAAAAGGTATAGAGAGAGAAAGAGAGAGAGAGAGAGAGAGAGAGAGAGAGAGAGAGAGAGAGAGCAAAAGAGAATCGTAAACGGGTACGTTCACATGTGCAAACCTAACACATAATATATATTGATAACAAATAAAACATAACACATCGGAAAAGATGCATAAAATTCAACTAAATCATAATATTAATAATAATAGTAAATTAAAGACGGCATTTAATTATAATAAACAGAAAACAATAACAAACCCTAACAACGTTACCAATGTTAATGATCTGCACAGATTACAACAACAACAACAACAACAACAGCACCAGCACCAGCA